TACTTCCTGCAACGTTGGGCATCAAACTCGCGCCGAGTACTAAGCACGCTATCACCGGGGTCGAAAGGCGACATACTACAACTGGACAGCACAAAAATACTGGGCGTGGTGTGGCAACCAGAGGAAGACACCCTGTCTTTCAACATCAACACTCACAAAACACCGGCGGAAGTATACAACGGGGCAAGAACACCAACTAAAAGGGAGGCGCTACGCACTACGATGTCCATATTTGATCCATTGGGCATCGCCACTCCAGTCACCATACAAGCGAAGCGCATCATACAAGACACGTGGCGCTCAGGCATCGATTGGGACACCCCGTTAGAAGCGCCCGAGGCGGACGCCTGGAGCAGATGGCTGGAAGATGTACGACGACTCGCCAAGATAAAAGTACCGCGCTGCTATATGAAACTTAGTCACGCGCGCGGCATCCAGTTACACACATTCATGGACGCAAGTTCAACGGCATACGCGGCCGTCACCTATTGGCGTGTAGAAGACGAAGATGGCAACGTACACGTCTCACTCATCATCGGCAAGGGGAAAGTAGCTCCGTTGAAAGTGATCTCCATACCACGACTAGAGCTGCAAGCTGCCGTGCTGGGTTGCCGTCTTACACAGACCGTCGTCGACGAGCATCAATTTAAACCGACAAGCCGCTACTACTGGACAGATTCCCGCACGGTACTGACCTGGATACGCAACGGACCGCGAGTTTATAAACCGTTCGTAGCGCATAGAGTGGCGGAGATCGCTGAACACACTAAAACGAAAGAATGGAGATGGATACCCACCAAAATGAACGTCGCAGACGACGCCACCCGCGACGTGCCACACGACTTCGACTCTAATCATCGATGGTACAGGGGGCCGGACTTTCTATATATGTCGGAAGAAAATTGGCCTCAAGAGGAAGTCACGGACGTCAACGTCACGGATGAAGAACGGGTCCACCTCACCACAGGCGTCGGCGCGCGACTGAAGGAAGCTCTACCCGAAGTAACTCGTTTCTCAAGTTGGATACGCCTCATGCGGACCACAGCGCGCGTACTACAGTTCATAGACAGGCTGCGGACGCGCACACAACGATGCGCCGCTTTAAGGAAGAGAACGAGGAAAAATGCCGACGCCGACCCTACTTGGCGAAAAAATGATACAGAAAGCAAGAAGACGAATACTTCCGAAGCTGCGCGTGGAAAGCAAGTTTTACACAAATTTAAAACGATCGACGCATCATATCTACGCCACGCCGAGTCGCTGTGGATACGAGCACAACAGGAAGAGGCGTTCACCGAGGAAATCAACGCCCTCATGAGGGGGACCCCCTTTCCCCCCTCTAGCCGCCTTATGAAATTATCAACGCTACTCGACGGCGAAGGCATAATACGACTACGATCGCGTATAGCGGCCGCGGGTGATATCACTGAGCAACAACGGTCACCAGCCGTGCTTGATGGAGACCACCCGTGGGTGCGACTGTATATCGCCTGGATACACAAACAGACGCACCACGGAGGCTTCGGCATCACCACCAGCGAGGTACGACAGCACTACTGGCTCCTACGACTACGCAACGCTGTGCGAAGCGAACTGAAACGTTGCCGAGTGTGCCGCATCATGAGAGCCACGCCTCCACAACCCTCGACTGGAAACCATCCGCCCAGCCGCCTCGCTCACCATCAACGCCCGTTCACATACACCGGGCTGGATTTCTTCGGTCCACTCCAAGTCGCAGTAGGCCGCACACGACAAAAAAGATACGGAGCGATCTTCACCTGCCTAACCACGAGAGCGGTCCACGTCGAGTTGGCCGGAGATCTGAGCACCGACTCCGCCATCATGGCACTCCGTCGCTTCATATCGCGACGCGGATGCCCGACGGAGCTGTGGTCTGACCAGGGAACCAATCTCCGCGGCGCGGACGCCGAGCTACAGAGGGCAGCACTAGAAGCTATACAGGAAGACGCCAGTATCCGGTTCATCAAGTGGAGATACATACCGCCGAGCGCACCGTTCATGGGAGGAGCATGGGAGCGTCTGGTACGGAGCATCAAAACAGCTCTGTACACCGTACTGCACGAACGCGCCCCGAAAGAAGAGGTCCTGCACACTCTATTGGTCGAGGCAGAGCACACCCTCAACAGCCGCCCTCTCACCCATGTATCCACTGCTCCAGAAGACGAGAACCCCCTGACTCCGAACCACTTCCTACTGGGGGGTCCCTCACGAGTACCACTGCCTGGAGCCTTCACGGACACTGACATCGATGGGCGCAAAATCTGGCGGACCAGCCAACGACTGGCCGACATGTTCTGGTCACGCTGGATAAAAGAATACCTCCCTGATCTCCAGCACAGACGAACTCCGAGAGCCACCAACGGCGCGCTACAACTGGGAGACTTGGTGTTCATAGCCGACGGGACGCTACCACGCAACACCTGGCCCCGCGGCATCATTGTGGCTACATACCCAGGCCCCGACGGAGAAATAAGGGCGGTCGACGTGCGGACAAACAGAGGAATTCTGCGCCGTCCTACAAAGAAGCTGGTAATCATTGCAACGGGAGGCAACGAGACAACGAAGCGCGAACCCTAGGACGTTCCAGCTACAAGCTGCGGCGGGAGAATATGTTCAGGACGAAAACGTGTTCGCGCCCATATGATTTATAATATTGTGATTTAATGTTGTAATTTATTATTGTTAATTTCGTGTAAGATTTTGGTAAATAAACGAGAGGGAGAGAGGGGTTTTGCTTGGAGTCTGTAGGGTTCTCCCGTCCCGCTCCTGCATTGGTGCCGTCCCGCTCGCACACTTGAATAGAATGCGAGCGGCACGGCGGGCCAGCGATGATATAAAAGGCGGAGCGTTGGGAGCGGAACGACATTCCAAAACTGACTGCGAAAGAATCCGAAGATGTTCCAAATCTCACCGCGATCCAAGCAAGACCAAGATCAAGAAGCTCAATTTACAACCAGGCGTTTTTCTCATAATCCGCCCCCACAAATAATATTCCATTTGTAGTAAAGAAGGCCTTAAAGTTAAAAAACGAATTATCATTAACAGTGAGCGTAAAAAAGAAACAAGATATACAATTTTTTACGGGACTTTTTAATAGAAAAATCATCTATAATATCATCATAGTTAATGGTGTTCATTATGTCTGCTTCTATGTACAGAAGAGCTAGAGAATTCATTTTTTCTTGAGACAATGAAGACCTTTGATAAGCTTTCACGCGTTTTAAACAGGAAAAACTTCTTTCCCCAGAACAATTTGTAGCCGGAATGGAAAGTGCAATACGCAGAGCTATATCCAAGTTAGGGTAAACATTATGCAGAGATTGATTCCTCAAAAACGTTGAGAGACTGAGCAGTGAGTTTGATCCAGGCTTCACTGAACAATCTACAGTTTTACCAGAGGAAATGTGACTGTGAAAATGTACACATTCTTGAATCAAACCGTGAGAAACCCAATGAACATGTTTGACTTTTGTCTCCACTGAAATCTGCCGCCCCTAGGACGCTGCCGCCCCTAGGCCGCGGCCTATACGGCCTATTTATAAATCCAGGACTGATTCGAACCAATGTCTTCTAGCAAACCGTTCCAAACGCTATACTACGGAACGAACCAGCGGATCTTACGAATTTCTCTATGCGCTTGTTGCAGGTCTTTGTTCTTGGTTTTTAACGACATTTCATACCTTTCCGCAAGACAGAAGTCACCATCTTGGAGTACGGGTATTGTGCCCATTGCGTTTAGCTGGAAATAAAATTGCATATTAAAATATAATCTCCACCTCACATCGTGCCCTGCGTGCCCTAATACCTGCATGCTTGGGTATTTAATGACATATACTTGTCGGCTGGTCCAGAGCAAAAACCTAGTAAAAGGACAAATCATTTTTCAACGGAATACTAGTCCTATAGTAAGTAATACTAAATACTACAATTTATCAGAGATTCCGAAACCTTCAAACCTTGTATTAGCACACATAGTCTGGTTCGTGATGAGTTAAACATCTTGTAAGCCACTTTAACCAATTCAAAACATAGCAAGTATTTTTAAATCTCAGTCGTAGAATGTCCACTTTGCTAAATGCTTCTTTCGCAGAATGTCCACTTCTTGACAACTAAATAGTAGATATTAAACTATACTGATACTCAAAATCTTAGTCGGACTCTATCAATGGGTTAAAGGGTGGGTACTAACAACCAGTGAGCAAGGCCAAGCAAATGTAATTACAGCTTTTAATAATTTAATAGAAAACACGTATGTCGCTATCAAAGCAAAACAGCAAACACTAGTTAAGTCAAGAAGGAGGCGGGATTCGCTCTGTACCTTTTGGAGGGAAAAGTGTCGTTTTTATTTTGACTTTCAATTATTTTGTGAAATCTAGTTTAAAGTGGAATAGGAAGTGCTATTGTGCCTTAATCGAAGATTAAAATGCAAAATTATACGAATCTCGAACTAAAATACCCGTATCGGCCCGTTTTAAGGAATCCCGAGCCAATCCAAGCACGCCGCCTCAAATTGCCTATCCTCTTTGTGGCGGCCATATTTACAGAAACATAATTAAACTTCATGTTTAGGCTGATGGCTTTGCCAAAGCCTTAATAAATTTAAAAAAAAAGAAGGAGTCGCCAAAAACAAACACATTCAAATTTAGAATTTCAATTAAAACTAAGCTTAAAAAAGACTATATTATAAAATATACAAAGAGATTTGTAGCGATTCGGTACAGGCACTAATAAATAACGTTCAGGGAATAAGTCTGCAGGCGGGGAATTCCACTCCATAGCCATTCACCATATAAATGTGGAAGCGTAATGCTTCGTGTGAATCTTTGGAATTTCCACAACATAACCCAAGCCTACGCCTAGTCGCTCGGTGATGGAAAGGGGAAGGCGGAATTAAATCATGTAATTCCATCTCACACTCTCCGTGCTATGTCCTGACGAATACTTTGCATAATTCTAAATTAAAAGTACGATTTCTATAGAAAAAACTAATAAGTTTCTTTTCCCTTGATAACAACCGAAAGATTCTTGATGTGATTGTGATATAATTATAAAATACTGTACTGGGACTTGCAATATTTTGGTTTGACACGATAGAGTTGGCTTTGTTACAAGGGTACAAAATGAATAATGACCCCGTGGTCACGGAGCGCGCAAAAGGTATATTTAGAAGAAAAATGAAAAATCATGCATACAATCGTCGTTTACTGCAATAGTATAGTGCAATATGCGATACCTTCTTAAACTCTGGACTTTTGTGCTCCTTGGCGACGAAGTCGATCTCCTTGAGCTCGAGTTCCAGGCCCAGAATCTGAGCCATAATTCGCACTGACCATGATGGTGGACTGCCCTTCAAATGCCACAGGACAAGCTTTGACATTTTTATCGGCTGTTGATTTAGAAAATATAAGTATTAAATTTTAATCACAATAATCAAATATTTTTATTTAATTATTACATTCATCAAAAATTTTAATATGATTACTTTATATGTATAGGTGTGCATGGTCTATCGTCGACCTGCGAGAGCGCATGTAACATATTTTGACCAAACTAAACTGGGTCATATTTTGTGTTTCCTGCATGCCCCTAATCGAGTATTTAGTGCCCCTACACCTACACACGCGATGTCACTGATAATGCTGTGTAAGTCGCTGAGGTCCTCTCAAATATAAACGTCAGAGTTGACATGCTAAGAAGAAGATCGTCGACCTCATCATCACTTTCTATCAGGTGAAACAATGGTGAATAAATGCGCGCTTATTTTATCACAAAAAGTTAATATATTTATTTTTAAATTAAATATGAAAATGAATATAATAATAATTATTATTATTTTGCGATTCAATTTTAAAATTTCCAATTCTCGATGACGTGTTCAAATTTTTTCAACAATTAATTATTCGTATTTCCCTGAATATCCTTGCATTGTACATGTTGGAATAATATGCAGAATACGCTTTGAATACACGTCCTTTATTGTGTATAGTACAAACTGTTTAACAGAAATTACAAATTAACCATTATAGAAAAAACAATCATATTCTAATACAAGACAGCTAGTGAAATCCACAACTTGGTACTAGGCAACCTGAAGTATAGGTAACATAGTTTGTGAACATATAGGATTATATCGCAAGTTTTTACTTCTTAAAAACAACAGTACAGCTCGAAGGAATGACGTCATCAATCATGGATTCACAAGCAATCATTTTAAATAAACAACGTTTAGCATTCGTGTAATTTTAATACATTTATTTAGCGTTTGCTGAAAACAACTCAAATTGACTAGAGATGGTTTAAACACCCGAGCCATTCATCGGCCCCATTTCGTTACGTGATTATTTTAAATGTATATCGTGTACACAAAACAATTTAGCACGTTTTAAGTACAAGTGTATTGAGACACAAAAAAAATACAATTTTGGATTGGGTCACTATTTTTGTACACACTGAGAGGCTGTAAGCACACTGTAAGTTTGAAGTGCCTATTCTTCTTCACACATTAACAGTTAAATTAAAATTTTGTTTTATTTTGTAGTATAAATTTCAAGTATAATTTGGCTGGAAGCTACTTCAGACAAAGTGTACGCTTAGCGTCTGAAGGGTAACGAAGCCACACTCGGTCACGAGACCTCAATGCGCCCCAATGCGCGCCCCCTGCTAATCTTTCTGCCTCTAACTTCAAGTTGAGTTAAAAGTAAATAAAATCTATTTTTTTAAGCATATTTAGTGTAACTTTTCATTATTTTGTAGTTATGCATTTAAATTCTCAAATATCGAAATTATAGTCAATAATAATAAAAGAACGAATGAACAAACACCGTACTCACCCGGCGAGTTATCAATGAGTACTAAATTTATTTCAGTTGATAGGTGCCAAGGCGAAGGTCAGTACAATTGATGATAATTGATAACAGTACACCCACAAAAATTTAAAGTATACCTAATACAAAGATGTACTTTATATTATTAATATAAAAGATTGTTCTAGGTTGTGAACTGCTTAGCTTAAAAAATCATAGAAAAAAAATGTTTTTTTCCACAATAGTTGCCAATTGAACACAGAGTGTGTGAAGTTATTAATATTTCGTAGGAATATACTTAGTTTCATTTTTGACAAAACGATACCTCCAATGAACACCACGCCATCTTTATTTTTTGGCCATTTTCTGTTATTTGTAAACAGTCTTTAGTTTTTTAGTTATGCACCCAGATTTTTGTGAAAAAAAGAAACAAAAAACAAAATTCGAAGAAAAACTAAAAAGTGAAAAAAAAAACAAAATAAACAGTTCCAAAAATTAACGTGTTTCGAAAACTTCTCCAAGGTCAACGGGACAGTGTCATAAAGCGTACCGAAGGAGACAGGACAAGGCATTGGGGAAGAAGCAACAGCTTGTGTAAAGAGTGTCCTAGGAGTATGCCACATTACGTGATGACAGTCCATCACGTAATGTGGCTAGTGCTAGGTTCAAGAAAAATTTTCATTTTGAATTTATATTTAAAAAATTTATAAAATTTATATTTTTCAGAAAAATATTTTACCACATTTGACTTTTTGAAAGACCCTTGTTTTTTCTACCTTTGATTCTTTTTTCCCGTATTGTCCAATCACTTCAAATCTCGTTTTACCCTAACTTGCTTGTAAATATGCAATTTTATTTTGAAATTCACGCTAAATCAATCTTCAAAAGATGTATCTAACCGTAGAACATAATATGAGCTTTCGAATTATATTTTTCCAAACTTTCAAACATGTTTCCGAAAAATTTCCACTATTTAAAATTTTTCGGAAAATTAAGTACCTAAATGTGGTCCAGTGGAAGAACGGCTGCCTCTTAATCGAGATGAAGTTTCGAACCCCTGTTTAATTTGCGTAGATATATTTGTAAATGTTCATTAGCAATACTATATTCATAGAGGTTAATAAAATTGTACTATTTTAATAGTTTTAGTGAAAATTTGAATAATGGTTATTTTTTGGTTGTATATTCTTTACATCTAATTACCAAATCCTTGCGATTGCGTGGAAAAAAAATGCTGTTGACTGTAACACACAAACATACATATATCTAAAGATATAGGTACCTACCTATATATCTATAGATATAGACATACGTCTATATCTATGTATTCAAGAAGTATCTATCTATGTAAGATAAGTCTAGATATTATGTCTGTAGTGTTAAACTATTGTAATCTAATCCCTAATTTCATTACAGTTCGGAGTCGTTACTAGAATTTTTTTCGTTCAAAAACATTGACTTAATTATAATTGTAAGTCAATGTTCAAAAATGAAAAATTGTTATTCAATCAAATCATTCATTCATTTTTTAAATATTACTATTTAATCATTTAATCGATTTATAATGACACTTGTGTAGAGACAAACCTCGGAGTAATTAGATCTAAGCAATTTTAATTATATTTATTGCAAAACTGAATATGACAGATTAAAAACTGAACTTATATACTTAATTTATAAATTTAACGTTACAAAAACATAGGTACACTCAAGAGCACGTCAAGCCTGACACTTTAGTCTTTGGACCGTTCGATAAAAACGGTTTTAAATTTATTTTATTTAAATTTATATAGACTATAGAGACTATAAAGTTGGGTTTAAATCTTAAGTGTCAAGCTTGACGTGCTCTTGACCCTGTACACGAGATAATTGTAGTGATAATAAATTTGATATTCTTAAGTTACGTAACACATCAGGAAATGTACACTTACGTGCAGTTGTGATAACTGTTCACGTCAGTCTTAAACCACAGAATATGTAATACTTGACCACTGCCAAACCGTCTTATCTTTTTACCTTATCACGTGATGCGTAAGCACGTGTAGGACAAAGTTGTTGGCCATGAACTAATGAGTAACGAAGTACTTTTTTTTTAAGTTTTTTGAATGTCACGATGTTCGACCACCATGATATTTAGTTATTTTTCTGACATTACTCCACTAGTTTGTAATAATTATTAATACAAAGGTCGCTTAAAGAAAGAAAGAAAAGTATCAATAGATTTTTCACAGATGGCGCTACGGCAAAAAAGTCGATAAAACCATTTAAAACTCAAAACACAAAGATCTGCAACAAGCACATAGAAAAATTCGTAAATTCGCTAGTTCGTTCTATGGCTTAGTTGGCATAGCGCCTGCCACGGTTTGCTGGAAAACGTTGGTTCGAATCCAGCCGGATCGAAGGAATTTTTTGTACCTGTTCGATCTTTGTATTAATAATTATTATAAACGAAGTAATACTTCCTTGTTTAGTCATTTTTTTATGATACTGTAGACTAGGCTGATAATTTGTATTTGTAGTGGCTGAATAAATTTATAGGTTTGCATTTAGAATTAAATAAAAAAATAGGACATTGTAAAGAAATGAATATCCTGCTATTTCTAGAAAAAGCTTCGATTTGAATACACGTAGTAAAGTTTTATTTATGATTCTTTTACTCGTTTCTCATTGAAATGTGCCTCTCGCTACACTAACCCACAGCTACGACACTTACAATACCAAGTGACGATGACGGAACGAACAAGTCGTGTACCTGGTGCTAGGTGACACGCCTGTCCATAACAGTTGCAGTGGGGCACTGCTTCGTCACTCTGAAACATAAGTCACCAGATCCATGTGCCTGTAATTTTTCCAGCACCCTTACCCTTCAAAACCGGAACTCAATAATGCACACATTACTTCTTGGCGGCAGAAATAGGTAAGGTCGCAGTACTTCCTTGGACGAACTCTTTTACTAGGAGCTCTACTGCTACTAAATATTAGCAATGGCAAAAAATACCATCAGGTATTGAAACGATAGCTTTCAATACCTAATAGTATTTTTTGACTTCTTTTTTGACACCACTCTCTGAATGACTAGGCTGTATGCTTTCTTCTTTAGCCCTAGAGTACCGACTACTAACTTGGTATAATAAGTACTTTTGCGACCCGATGGGGCTTGAACCATAGATATTATATCTATGACTTGAACCCACGACCATACTGCACCGTAGTATTGCTTTTACTAACTGAGCTACGGGTCAAGTTGTCGAGTTGTCAAAATTCTCCTGATTTTGGATAAAGACCTTTATACTGGGTGTCGGCATTCGGCGCCGATACGACAAGTAGGGTTGTCACATTATTATTTTAGTTGTACAGTCAAGAGCACATCAAGGTTGACACTTTGTACTTTGGATCGTTCTTATCGTAAGCGGCATAGAGTTGAATTTAAATATTATGTGTCAAGCTTGATGTGCTCTTGACTATGTACCTGCAGGTTGCATAAAACATAATTTAAAAAAATTAAGACATGCCTAACAGTATTAAAGTGCTATATTAAAATAACCTTCGTTAAATGCAGTACTTACGTAGAGATATTGATATTCTTGATAGGTTGGTATAAGACTATATGGGATATCGATTAATCCAGTATGATTATGAAATAGAAATTAAATGCTGAACATTCTAAATTTCAGGTTACTTTTATTCAAACCACCATTTGCACAAGAATAAACACGTTTACTGTTTGATTTGATGTCAGTAAATGTATTTTTTTAAACACCGAGCGAACATTTCAATTCTATAACCAATAGCGCGTGCGATGCGAATGTGTGCATATGTACACGGCGCGCTGCGAGCGAGTACACATACAAGCCGCGCTGCTACGTTTGTACGGAGTTATCCTACCAGTTTTATT